CCCCCCCCCGCTTCTATCTGAACGTCTGTCCGCAGCCGCGTCCCAGAGGCCTGCGTCTGGCAGGGATAGCTAGTCCCTCTCCTCTGCCCCGGCAGGCAGCCCGGCTTAGCCAACGTTGTGGGAAGGGATTTGAAAAGTACCAGTACCAGCCGCCTCTTTTTAACTTGTGGTGCTACCTCCTGCCCTGGCTGCTCGCTTCCCTCTTCGTTCCGCGCTGTCTCTGCTTGGCGTTGTGAGCCCTGGGTTTGCTTGTGAAAGGAAAAGCTGCCCACTGGGGGCAGGTGTGGCTTTGGAGGAGGTTCAGGCTGCCTGCAGAACATGCTCTTGATGGCCTGGAGGTTGAGAAATGTTGCATTAAGAACCAAAGAAAATGCAACAAAATCATAGAAAATAAGGGCTGCAAGGGACCTCAAAAGATCCCCTGCTCTGGGCTGGAATGCTGCTGAGATCAAAAGATCCCAAAAAGGTGTCTGTCCAGTCTCCTTGAAGACTGCCAAGGCTTTTTTTTCAGTCGGATTTTTTTTTCCTTTCTCTTTCTCACCTTTTTTATTTTTTTGGTTTAAGATACAGAGACATTGTGGAAACCCAGCAGCATTATAAGAGTAGATGGCGGTCCATTTGGGTGATGTACATAACCATGTTTCTCAGTAGCATAGGTGAGTAAACCTGGCATTCATCCACCAGAATGTCCACACTAGGACTGGTTTGATTTGAGAAATTCAAGCAGTCGGGGCATTAAAACTGAATCCACCTGTTCTTCTTTCATGTAATTAATTTGTTGGCTAGAGAAGATAAAGCCAATGAATTAAAAAGTACGTACTTCTTGTGGGGTTAATCTGCAAAAATATCTTCCATCTTGTTTTCTGAGTAATAGGTTGCAAAATGGTTGAGAGAAAATTGTGAGGCAATAACATGGCACCTGAGTCATGCTTCCAGTTGGAAAGATGGATCAGTCTTCAGTAGTTTTCATACTTCCTTAAGCCACAGAACTCTTTCGTGTTTGTTGGTTGTAGCCCTGTTGGCCCAAGGACATAGGCAGACCAGGTTCTTTGGGTAGATGTGGTATCTTTTAGTAGACCAGCTAAATAGTTGGAAAAATTTTCCTTTCATAGTTTCATAGATAGAAGCACCCGTCTTCAGGCATAAGGAGAGTCTGCTGGTGTTTTGTATGCTCTCCTGGGTAGAATAAAAGCTAAAATGCAAGTCTGTGAAAATACAAGTGCGTGGCAGTGAGAATCGGAGGGAATGAGGGACAATAGGTGTGAGACAGGTAGGTGCGGAGGAGTGGGGAGATTGAGCTGGTAATAGAATGTAGCTGGCAAAATGCAGACGGGGTACCTGGGGTTATCAGATGGCAGGTTATAATGTGCCAAAAATCCAATTTCTATATCTTGTCCATGATTTTTTTTGTATTCAGTAGATTTATGAAGTGAAGTTCATAGGCTCATGTATGAAAGGTGTTTTGTAAATTCCCTTTGAGGATTAGAACTGAGTGATTGGAGAGTGAGTAATTGTCTTGTGAGATGTGTACACCCACAGGTAATTGGGTGTTTTTCTTGATAGATTTCCAGTGTGCATTCATTCTGGTGTGCAGATGTTGTTTGGTTTCTCCTACATATTTTCCATCAGGGCATGTAGTACACTGGATGAGAGAGATTACATTTCTGGAGGTGCAGGTGTAAGACCCAGGAATAGTGATGGTTCTGCTGTGGTGTGTAGTTATTGTGGGACTGGTGGAGGTGTTTTGGCAGGTGTTATATTTTTTGTCCCGTCATGGTCTGAATCCGTTGAGTATGCTTTGGGCCAGAAGTTTGCTTCTGGTGATGAGGTTGGTGAGGTTTGGTGCTTGTTTAAAGGCCAGGATCGGTGATTTCACAGACCTGCATTTTGCATATTGGCTTCTGTTCTACCCAGAAGAGCATACAAAACACGAGCAGACTCTCCCTATGCCTGAAGAAGGGTGTTTGTGCCCAAAAGCTTGCAAAGAACATTTTTTTTCCAGCTATTTAATTGGTCTAATGAAAGAGAGCACGTCTACCCAGAGAACCTTGTCTGCCTAGAACCCTTTCATATCACTTCTACCGTGGAACATTACCCCTGGTTCACTGCCCACAGAGCCGTGTGACCCAGCCTGACATGAGAAGCATGCTGCCTCGCAGCACACTCTACCAATACTCCAGAGCTCTGTAGAGCCTCTAATGCTGTAATACACAATCCCAGGTTTCCACAGACCCCAGCTTGAAAACTGCCACGCTAGGTGCTCATATTTGTTGAGAATTGAGGTGGGGCATACTTGATGCCAAAGCTAAGGTTACTATATAACATGCAAAGTGAAATCATTGAACATTAAACATGACAGTATTTAAGAATGAGCATTTTTTATGCTGTTGGCATCTGAATTTTGTATTTTGAAGTATTTTTACCCACAAATGTGTACTTGTTGGGGACTGCAATATTTTTTACTCAATATAGTAAAATTATCTTTAACTGCAGAATAGTTTCAGGCCAATATTCTCTTCAACTTTTAATTTAACTGCTTTGTGGTATCTCACTTTTCTGTTGGTTAACATGATATGGGGGTGCCTTTAGGATTTGATGAGGTAAACGCAAATGAAAATGTAAAACTACTGTCTGATATCAAGAAAATCCTTTTTTGTGAGGGGAAATGATCCTATTCTCATCCAGGGCAAACTTGCATTCATTTAGTTCAGTCAGAGTATCATTATAGTCTAGGTGTTTAGCATATAAAAATGCTTCATACACACATACTGCAGTGTCTTTTTTTTAAGTTCTTTAAGAGTTTTTCTCAGTGAGAAAAATTACTGTTCTTTCTTCCAGGGCAGGGCATGTATAGTACTTTTTATTGCTACTTGGAACTTCAGCTTGAGGATATAGCCTTTTTTAATAGAAGAATTAGCTTGTGGTATCTATATTGAATGAAATATTTTAAAAACATAGATGTATATGTATATAAAATGGAGTAATGTAAAATAAAGTAATTCCAGTTCTCTCTCCTTTTTAATGCATCACAGGTTTTTCAATTGTAATTATGTCAATATGGCCATATCTCCAAAAGGTTTGTAAATCCTAATGATGAATTATTATAATCTGTATTATAATTAAGTACAATAAAAATTTTGTTCTGATCTATGTGATCATTACTGCTGAAGTCTAATTCTTCAACAAGATTCTGCTCAGATCTCCATTGATGGGTTGAAGGCTTATTTAGGAAATAGGAAACTCTTAAATAAAAGTACTCCTGTTGTTATGTTAATTCCTCAAACACTACAGCTATCTTATTTAAACTGAAATATTTTATTGAATCTGTTTTGACCTGTTGCATACTTTCAGAATAGCAACATAGTTTTTAAAATTGTGATCAGTGACCATCCACAGCACAAACTTGCATTACCACATAGGAATTTGTACAAAGTGTTAATATTTTTATTTTTTTACTCTGAACTACATTGTTTGGTGTAACCTGTTTTCTAAATAAATGTGGTACAAGTAATATATAATATACAGTATATTAGCTTGTATTCTTTAACGGTATTGGAATAAAATTGTGGACCTGGGCAGAGGCCCTGTTGTTTGCAAGTTGAATTGACAAAATGTCCAGAAATTCCAATGAGGATTATATTATATTCCCATTGTACTATATACAGAATAGACAAAAAGGAGAGACAATCCTTTCTTGGGGAGTATACAATGGAAATAAAGCTAACAATAAATCAAAACAGTTTTGATTTATTGTCAGAAAGTAGATCTGAAAGACTAAACTGAAAATTCCCTTTCCCAGTCTTCTTTGACAGCTTCTTTAACATTCCATGTAAAATTGGTTGTTTGTTTTACTAAATCAATAGAGGCTTAGGTTATTAATCCTGAAAGATTAAGTTTCCCAGTCTTTTTTATTGTTCCTAGTTGTTGTATTATACCATGATCACTACATCAAGGAAATGTAATGTGTAATGATGGTATATGTAATTATATTCTTACATGTAAGCATGCACTAAGCTTCTGGAAATTCATGGTTTAAGTAGAGAGAGGGAAGGAGGGAGGAAAAGAAGGAAGAAAGGAAAGAGATGGAGAGTTAAAAGTGCTAATGTCAAGGTAGAAGGCTGACATGAGAGGAGAAGAGGGAAACAAGAGCGTACCTTCACCAAGAAGAGACTATGGGTAAATAAAAAAGTTGAAGTTTTGGGAAAAATAAGATAAGCATATATGCAAGTTTCAGTTTCTGGAAATAAACACCTCCGAAAATGATGTAACATGAAATCTAGGGGGAAAAAATGGAACCAGAGATTTACTTGTATATGGGCAGTCAAATTCAGCAGCTGAACAGTAAGTTCATAGAGAATTGTGGCCCTAAGATTATTTGTTTTTTCTCTGAAATTCTTTTAGCAGTACTGGAAATAAAACACACAGAACACTATTTATTAGTATGTTGGACAGGTTGTTATAACTTTAAAAAATGTTCAGTTTAAAGATTAAAAAAAGCCTATGAAAATATCCAGGATTATTGCAATAGAGCTAACGTTTGCACTCATGGGCCACATCCAAATGAGCGTGGCTATATGGTATGTGGCACATGTCTGCAGTGGCACATACCACACATTCAGCTGTTTTCCGCACTGCAAGGTAGCAGCATGGGGTGAGGGGTTGACCCCAGGATATCCAGGGACCAAAAAAAAAAAAA